GTTGAAGAGCTTTCTTGATAAGTACGACAAAGGTTTACTGATTTAACAGGACAACATGTTTATAATTTGCTGGTGGCAGAAAAATAATTCACCTACTGGGGAATTCTGACATCTCGAATCTACATACTGAGATGCTGGAAGGGAACTAGAGGGAATGTCTATGATTTTAATTTACTTATCCTATTTAGAAAAAAAAAGTCACTTGAGTCATTCTGGCTCACTTTCCTTAGCATTAGTCATACTGCATTTCCTTAAGCCTGTGAATGTGTTTCTATGTAAATAAACTATGTAGTTCACTTGGGGATAAAAGTCACAGTATTTAGAGATTATAAAGACCTATTAGATCATCCGGTCTGGCCCACAAGAGATAGTCCCCAGATAGGGAATGTAACTGTTGATCTTTGCCAAGAGGCCAAGAAGAAACAGTTGGCAAAAGTATTTTCCACGCTTTTTAAAAATTTTAACTTATCGAATAGTGCTTTGGTCACTTCCCAAGTGGACGAGTAAAATTATCATTAAACAGTTTCACTTATCAGGGAGACACAAAGCTTAACTTATCTGAGTTGACCATGTTCCAGCTGCCTCCATTTGTTGAAGAAATGATCTTGTTTGTAAAATAAGAACAGTAAGGCATCTGCTCTTTGAACTAGCCAGGCAGTTTCCTTTCAGTAAAGAAAGTCAAAAGGCAAGCTCTTCTTAACTTTTTCCTAATCTATTTTCACCAGTTTCAGAGCAAGTAGAAATGAAAACCCTGATCTTCTCAAAGTGGAAAATAAATACAACACACTAGGATATTAACAACGGACTACTTTACAGATCAAAGTGTTTTCCGCTCCCAGGTCCTACATTTCCTGAAGTTGGGAGTAATTTTGAAATTTAAAGTAGGGAGAGCTTTGGCATTAGAGCGAAAGTCAAGGAGCAAATCAGTAAAAGGAACCCCAAAGAAAATAGTGAAGATACATGTTCTGGTAACCATTCCCTTTGTCCTGAAGTTCTTAAATCCTTATTTCAGACACACACTCTAGGTTCCCTCCACCCAGATTATATTCAGAAAATTGTCAATGTTACTCTTTAGTCTCAACCTCATTGCTATGGAGAAAGCCATATAAATAAATACCCCCCTCAAAAAAATAGCACAAGTAGGAAAACTAACGTATAGTAGAGGGTAAGTAGGTAATGCAAAAGGAAAATGAGATCTAAACATTTTAAGTAGAATTATTTCTTGTCTACTAAACATGAACCAACCTAACCCATGACGTAAGTCTTCTATTTTTATGGAGTTAGAATTTCCAGAGTGGGTTTGATATTCGTGTCATGGGAGATTAGATTATATTATAAATGCTGTTTTAAAAAATAGTGTGGTCCTTGACTTCTTGAAGTCCACATCCTAAGTCAAGCACTTACATTCCATTTAAGCCTATAACAAATTTGAGGATTTCAGAGGAACTCAGTGAGACTCTCCATGTGCACTGAGCACGCACTGTGAGCTGAGCCCTTTGCAGGTGCTGTAAAGAATTATAAAGGAGGTATTAGATATGGTCCCTGCCCTTCTAGAGCTTACAGTATTACGGAAAAGATAACTATCTTGTCTACTAAAGATAGTTTATAGATTTTTCCGTAATAATAGATAACTATCTACTCCCCCATCCCTCATCTCCCACACAGGATGGAAAATGAGTGACTAATTTCTGTTATCTTGCTTCTGTTAACTTGAACTAGAAAATCAGAGTCCAGACAAGAAAGTAACACACTCAGATGGGGAAACAGAGGGAAGTTCAGTGAAAGGATTATTTGTGAAGATTGGGCAGAGTTAAGAAAGGCATTAAGACGCATAAATGTCCAAGTACTAACAGAAGGGTAAAGTCATCACCAAGGTGAGGTGTGAGGGAATGGCAGGGGGCGGGGGGTGGTTACCAGAAGCTAGAGGGAGACCTAGAGCCGTCAGAGTGGCCACAGCCTTCAGTAGGGAACAAAGCCAGGTCAACCCCATGGCCTGCAGGAAGATGGTCAGGGGGATGAGGTACCAGACCTCTATCCCACTTTCCCTGGGGTGTCCTGCTGGTGCCTCCTCTTGGCGAAACACAGTTAGAAGCCAAAGGGCCAAAGAGACTGTTGAGACAGCCCCTGATTAACAATCTCTGAGAACACAGACCAGGATGAACAAAGGTACGGGGAAGATCTGGCAAGGCAGAGAGCAACCAACAGAGCAGGCCAAATTTAGAACCACACAAGTTCACAGGATAATGTATGTGCTATATTCAGAAGGAAATGTTTTGGTAGATCGGTGAAGGGTAGGGTTAACTGGCAACAGAGTATTTTGGCACTTTCTCATTAGATGAGATCACAGTCAACATTAACTTGAGTTCCAACTTAAGCCATAGGACATAAACTGGTTAAACTGTAGTTTAACCAGTATTCTGCCAAGCTGAGGCCTATAACTGGCATTTCCACACGTCACCTAAGTATACGACATTAATGTAGCTTGACGGTGCTGATCTTGAAGTGCAAGGTAATTTCAAAGCATGAGCTAGGGGAATAACTGAGATTAAAGATAAATCAGAGGCAGAATGTGTGCTGAGACACAAAATGATTTATAAATCTGGAAGAAATATTACATTGTATTCCAAACAATCTTAGCTTTAAGCAAAATAGAGTATTTTTTTTAAACTGGTCATTCATGTCTATTATACATGACCATTTTGAGAAAAACGCTATGGATTAACCAGAAAACTCTGTTTCTTGGTCATGAAAGGTAATAAAAAGTTTACTCTCCCTCCCACCCCCAATGGAAGTTTACTTCCTGTAAATTCATTTTGTACTTTTCTGTTCGGTCTTCGGGGATCTATTCTCCTTGAATTATGCTTGATTTAATATGTGTTTTGCATATTGGTTCCAATATTTAACAGCACTTCATTACTCAATAATAAAAAGCTACAAATAGATTAAAAGACTTTTAAACCTTTGGAGGATTCAGAGCACACATCGTGAGTGCCCCATTTAGGTTCTGAAGTTGCTTATTAGCAGCTGACGAGACGTGGCATAATGCTGTAGCGTGCCGCCCCACCGTTGATCCTCATCTGCCCCAATCTGGAATGCAAGCTATGATTTGAATTCTATACATTTTATTCAAGTTTAAAAATGGCAACCGCAGAACACTTGGGGCCTTATTCATTAAACAATGAGTCATTCTGGAATTCCTTTCCCTCCTTCCTGGACTTGGGGAACTTTTATACATGAAATTTGGCTGCCCTTGATGCAACTGAATCAACAATTAGGGTACTAGTATCACAATGGACCAGGGCGGCTGGAAAACAGGTCTAAAAATGTCCAGTTCGGTGTGAAAGCTGGAGGCACAGGCCACTCTTTCCCTCCCCGCCAACTCCCACTAAGGCCGGTGTAGTCACCGGACAGAAGTGGGCAGTAATCAATAACTTACACCCTCCAAATGTTTCAGAGACTATACATCATGACACAGAATATTTGATCATGATTTTGTGCCCCTAAACTCTATAGATAACCCCTCAAAAGGATACCTGAACGAGAATTTTTTTTTTTTTACCAGACTGAAAAGTCTTTAAATCCTCAAGAAATGGAGCATCCTAAATTTAGTTTCCAATGACAATTCAGAAACTATAGAACAAATTTCTTTTTTAAAGTTCTATAGGGTTCTCACCACAAGGAGATTTTCTTTTTTTTCTTTTTTATTATATCTACAGGACAGTAAATGCTAACTAAACTTGTTACTGTCACCATTTTATAATATGTGTAAGCCAAACCATTATGCTGTATGCCTTCAATTTCTACAGCAGTGTATGCCAATTATATCTCAATAAAACTGGGGAAAGAATGTTCTATAGGAACAGGAAGTGTCCTTGACAAAGATTTTCCTGAGGGACTTTCTCAAGTGAATGGAAAATAAGACCATATAAATACATTTCCATATGATCTTTATATGGCCATATAAAACTCACAGTCTACTTTTGGGTAATTTTCAAGTGAAATCTCAGAAAAACTATAATGCATTTTTCTGCCTTTTTTGTGTGTTTTTGCCTTGGTTCCCTTTTATAAGCATATTGGCCCACAATCTATCTGAAGCACACAACAGGTAAGGACAAGCTTGCACAAAGGTAGGATAGGAAAGAAAGAGGCATCTACGTCTTCATAGAGCAATCTGGTCACATTTGAGAAAATACCCCATGAAGTCCTTTACCCTGAATTTGTCCCTTGAAAGGTTAAATCTCACTTCCTCCTACCAGAACTGGAACTATTTACTAAAGCAACAGAAAGAAAATGGAAGAGACAGAATTTTCCATCCAGAGGAGTCTCAAGCCCTATCAAACACGATGTCGCGTGACCCTCCTCCTCCTCCGCCCTTCCTTAATGCACCATATAGAGAGGGCTCTCGTGTTGTAAAGGTGTCATATATATTTTCTCTTCACTCCAAGCTTCCTGAATAAAGAGAGATCTATTTGTCTCCATGGTGTTTTCGCCATTAACAGTATCAGAGCTGCAGGAACACAATGGGAGATGTGTTTTCCGTTAACCTCTTGACTCCGAGATGTCCTGATGCTAAACGTTATTGCATTTTGCATTAGCACAGAACAGTGGGAGTTCTGTGACTGATGTAAAAGGGTTGAGAAGGGCCACAGAGGCTCTCGTGTGCTCCATACTGCAGTTGGTGGTGGAGCATGAAGCACATAATTTTTGTTTAGAAAGAGCACAAACAGGAACTGGGGAAGGAGGTAGTGAATTTCACATATCCCTCATACCCCCTTCTGTTCACCACTGAGATAACCTCTACTGGAGAATGATATTCAGTGCTTTAACGTACCCCGTTCTTAGACATTAACTAGGCCGAAATTAATTTACTCTTCTTTATTACCCCAGCGATCTATAAACATGGAAGGACCAAGAGGATTAATAGTTGCTGTTTTCTTGGGCTACTTTTTACATTGCTTTAAAGTGGCCTTCAGTGTTGGCAGCTCATGTGGTCACCGTACCTGCAAGTGCTACCATTGTGTTCGTGTTCCTTTGACAGCATGGAGACAGAACTGGGAATTTCCCCTGACATGTCGTAAAACAGAAGGATATGGAGGCTAGGAAGATTGTAGTCACTGGCATCTGAGACTCTTCAATGACAGATCCAGAACTGTAGGATATTCTATGGTACAGGTGTCTCAGAAATGGTCTGGGTCTAGTCTACGGATTTATATATTTAGACACTGACACTCAGAAATCTTAAATGATCTGAGCATGGCAGAGCCGGGTTTGGTACCTGCACTCACGTTGCTGGCTGAATCCTCTTTACATTTGCTATTCAAGGATGTGTGGAATGGATGGTCCCTGTAACCAGAAAAGTCTTTAGGACTACACTCAATGTCACAGTGTCCCTATTTCTAAGATGCAACTTTCACAGGGCTGCATCTTGAGTTCTGTTGGTGAAAGGAACTAAGATATTTTTAAAAGATAAGCTTAGTGACTACAATTAGAGGCGAAATTGCTGTACTTATCTAAAGATGGAAAGCTGTCTCCAAATTTCTTGCCCTCAGCTTAAAAGCCCAGACATCCTGGGGTTCAAAAGCAGGTGATCACGTAGAACATTGTTACCCAAGAGTATGTTCTATACCAACAATTTCAGCTTCACGTAAGAGTCGGTGAGGAGTGCAGAATTTCAAGCCTTGTCCTGACCTACTGAATTAGAATCTGTGTTCTGACAAGATCTGTAGGGATTTGTATTAATTAAAGTTTGATAAACATTATTGAAAGGAAGCTTCCAATGGAACTCGGAAGTCTGGCTATTAGAGAAATGGAAGGTAAAGACCATCAGAGGTCGGTCCTACTCCAAAGAGAAAAACAAATATTTCAGCAGGGTTAGAACGTGGAAGGCAAGAGACAGGGGGAAAATAGAACACTGGGGACAAGAATGGTAATGAAGTAAGGTGTTGCAGGTCAAACTTGTACTAAATATTTAGAGAATATATATTTGGTTCAATAAGAAAACCTTAGTTTATTCATTTCTTTCTGGTTCTTCAGAAAGCTCAGAGAAGACACTAAACCAAAGCCAACGTTGAAACAGCTAGGGTTTGTCCTTCCGAGAATATCTTTGGAAGTGCATACTTCCAAACAAGAAGGAGATCAATGGTGTTATCCCATAGTAGTTAAAAGTTTCTACTAATACACCAGGTCAAAGTCAAAAGGAATCTGATGCATGCAAATGAAGAAGTACAAACTCATTATTCTAACTGGCCAGATCTCCTTAAATCGTGTCAGTGAAATGTTCCCTGATGGATGAAGACGGTCAAGATGCCAGCAACACATTACATTCTGAAGTCTATTGGTGTGCTAGAAAACAGCTGGATGAAATTACCACATTCCAAAAAATTAAAATAACATTTGCACCACCCATATAGATGTTATAATTTCTTGATGATATTTTAAAGTATAGCACGAGTACCTCTTTATTTTTTCTTTTTAGCTAAAATTAAGTCTCAGAAGATACTATGGTCATTTGTGTTATACTATGGTGTATTTGTGGTTTCTGGGCGCAAGAATGATTACCAGATGTCAAATGCAGTGAACAGTTCCCCCGAGGAAAGAGAACACATACTTCAAAGATGAAGATAAGAAATGACTCATGTTGAAGAATACTTTACCCATCCTGTACTGCTATAACTTAGATTAAGACATCTCTAAAGTGGCCTCCAACACAATTTATTTTTCTTGCAGTTCCCAAACTCTGTCCTCCCATGGGCTACTGGCTGGAAAATGGCAACATTATGACCTCCTAGATACCACAGCCATTCTAAAAGCAAAGAGAGCATTACGTAAAATCTAGTGGGTACATCCTTATTACCTAGTCAGTAGAAATCCAGTCATATGAAAGCATGACCCCAAATACTCCTTGGCTCTTGGGAACCAAGGCTGTGTGAAACCACTCAAGGTCATGCCACTGCAAGGAAAGTATCTTATTGTCTTGTACAGGAAGATGACTTGATTTAAAAAAAAAAAAAAGCTTTATAAATGTATAAACAGTACTAAGTAGGTCCTTATATGTCAAGTGGCTACAAATGTTTAATATGCAAACCCTAAGCCAACACAGATACAGGTAATAACTGTGTTTCGTGTCAAACTCATAATAAATGTATAATGACAATGTCCTCTAGAGCAAGGCCAAAGACCTTCCTAAAGGATGAATGAGTAAACAAAGAAATGAAGACCATACAGGAGTCTTAGCATCACTCCCAGTTCTACAGTAGACTTTCAGGGTGGCCCAAAACAAACCTGGGCCTCTAGCTGTGCTTTAACACCAAGCTGGGGCTACTTATCCTTGAACCTCTTTGTAGCCTAACGTATACCATAATTCACTATGGAAAATATTTGAGCCTGGAATCAAAATGGTGACATAGGGATCTCGTCCTTTTTTTTTAATGGTAGTTGAGAGAGAGAGAGAGAGAGTACATGAGTGAGCTAAAACTAAAATGTGCAAAACCATTCTTTTACATACGTTGCATATTAAAATTCCAGAAAGTCATCAAATGGTTTAAATAACCTCATTAAGTACCTCTGACTACCTTTTTGCATTTTCTACTGAAAGCATCTAGGCTTGGAGCAACGCCATCCTAGCCAACACACTTGGATTCTAGTGCTGCTTTGTCACTGATATACTCTGGGTTGATCCTGTGATTTCACTCTAAGGCCAAATGGCCATCATTCTTGATACTAGTTATCAACCTGAAATGACTGAGCTTTGTTTCTGATTTAGTCAATCCCCATATTATTACCAGTCCAGTCTCTTGGCATTTTCCCACAGAAGTTGGTTGGAATACACCTCATTAACAGGGATATACATAACATTTAGACTAAGGCCAGCTTAGCCCAAAATCCTAAATGTGAATTCACAAACATGGCTCCTTATCTTGGGAGCTTCCTAGGATGGAGGGTGCATAATTACTTCCAGTCTGATGAATTCTAAGAAAGTACAACGTGACTACAAAAACGGCCACCATCTGTCATGTGTTCCTGAGTCCCTGCTCTTTGCCAAAGAACCACTAGCGCTTCCTACTCTGGCTCCATACTGGGTCATATGACTTCCTTTGACCAATGAGGTATTAGTAAATGTAAAGCCCTCAGAAGCTTGAAAAATACTTAAGCTTTTTGGCTCTTCCTTGTTCTCGCTCCTCTGCCTTCACCATGAGAGCTGACAAGGAAGAGTTTGTTGGAACAAGGGCCATGTAGGGCACAGAACTGAATTACCTCAGCATCCCAGTGACCCTGTCCTACAGCTGACAGCCAGAATGAATGAGACCAGCCAAGACCAGAAAAACTGTCTAGTCTAAGTCACTGACCCACAGGCTCATGAGCTAAACATGTTTATTGTTGTTTGTCACAGAGGTTTTGTGTTGTTTATTAAGCAGCATTATTGTGACAATGGATAACTGATAAGCTGAATCCCTCAAAATCTCATGTTTTTGGTAAAACTAAATCCAACCCAAAGAAACAGAACATGAAAATACAGGATGGGTACAAGAGTTAAACAAAACCTGAATTCTAAAATGCCAGTAGAACCACTGTACCCAATCTTACCTTCCACAGAATTTCCTAGAAAAAAAGGCCTGGAGGAATCATGATCGTTCTCGGCATGTTGCTTTGTGCAAGACCCAAGGAAAGCTAGGAGGTTGTACAGTTATCTCCCTTGATGTAATTCTAAACTATACAACCTACTACCTCAACCTGGGAACATGCAGTCACAATGGCTGGAAAGCTACCATTTCTTAGGCAATGAAATGACAAGTTAGTCTTATAATTGTTCTTCATGCTGTCAGCTACTTGGGCCATTCATAAGAGATAACACATCAGAGGGTCCAACAGTAGAGGAAAATAACACAAGAATCTTGGCTTGAGAGTACTGTGCATACAAGAAGGGAGGAAATACTAAGGGTTGTTTTTCTTGATATTATTGGTGCATCAGAATTATGGTAATGTTATATAATGGTGTTTATTCTGATCAAACTAATACCCTCTGGCATGTGTTAACAGAATATAAAAGTAGACCAATATTTAAACTTCAACAATTGAAAAAAAAATAGGAAAATGACTGTTTCTACTGTGAAACTGAAAAACTGTAATCTCCAAAGCATCAGTACCCAAGGGGAAAGAGCTTCAGCCAAAATATGCTGAAAAGTTATAGGAACTAGGATTATGAGCAAAGCAGAGGTAAACAATATAGAAGCTATGTTGAACATTCACTCAACAGTATTTACCATATTACATAATTCTCATATTTATCAAGTGCCCCTCCTTCCAGAGTTGACTGTTTCAGCACTTTTTTTTTGGTATAAATTCTTTCCCCAATAATTTAGCAATGTGTAAAATGTTGACTTTCCCCCCCCCGCCCTTCTAAAGGAATACAGTATAGTTCCCTATTGGCTTTTAATTTTTAAACTGGGTCTTCCCTTTATCATCAGTCTCAGTTTGATGCTGGGGCAGCAGACAGACTCCTTCTTAACAGCTTGATGGTGGCTTCCCATTTCCATGTGAATTGGTGTTGGATCAGGGTTGCACTTCCCATTGATGAAGGCTCTCTGATCTATAGGTAGCCCCCTCTCCTCATCGCTTAGCTGGACTCTGGTTTTGCCTGGTAAAGGTTGTTCCATAGAGAAGCTGGGCCCATGTATATAGAGATGGAGGAGTGTCTAAGCACATGGTAAATAAATGAGTAATAGTCCTATGGTGCTGATTATGTTAAAAAAAAAAAAAAAGATCCAAATGCTGTAGAGTTGGTGTTTCACCACCCTGCTCTACTAACCTGAAGAGGGACCATTTTCCCAATTTCTCCAACCCTGTTCCCTGATGCAGATATCATGGAATGGGGCTGCCTTTTTTGAGAAGACTGCCTCTCTTGGATCAGTGGTTCTCGGGAAAGACTGGTAAGTTAGTTTTACCAAGCAAACGCCCATTCATCCTTCAAGGCTCCATTCAAAGAGTTCTTCCTCTGATCATTCATAATTTTATATGCACATTTTTAATTTAACCCTAACACTATTGCATTATAATTTATCTATCTGCCTCTTGTATTATACCTTGAGCTATTCAAAGATGGGGCTGTGCTACTCACCGTTGCAAATCTAACCCTACTTGAATGCTGACGACCTGGCACAAAGAAGAGACTTAAAAATATGTTTGTTGTATGAAAGCAAAAGCATATGAATGAATGGGTAAAGTGGGAGTATAAATGAACCTAAAGATAAAGGCCAAGTGATTTTTATTTTTATATCATATCTCTTGTCCTGCTACTTATATTGTAACTTCACAGTATGGTGTTAAAAAAAAAAAAGAAAAGAAAAGAAAAGAAAAGGAATCGCAGAATGGCTGAATTCAATTTGACAAGTTTCTCTTAAGTCCTGGATCTCATACGGAAATTCAAGGAGTAACTGTGAGTCCTCTGCCTCCTGATACTCAATTACATTTAAGATTAAACATTCACTAGGACACTAGAAGAAAATGTAAGTCATTGTCTTTCCTCTGCATTTGAATTTCTTTCATTTTCCTTGCACTGACAATTTGTTTGATTCGGTAAATACTGTGAAGGCCTAACCTTTAAGAACAGAAAACAAGGCAATAAAAGAGCCCGTAAGAGTTAACCAAAGAAGACAGAACAAAGATAGTGTATGTTTTGATGTGCTAGCGTGCTAATATATTAGCCTAAATGTATAGCTTACAGAGCTTTTAAATATCCAGAAGTGGAAAAATTCATTTTCTTCTAGGGGTCAAAGACAGAAAGACGTTGCTGCTAGAATACTAATGGTTTTCAATACCCTGCTCTTTTGGTTGTGTGAATTTCCTTGTTTATTTACACTGATTTTAGCCCATTATCATGTATTAGTGCAATTATGGCTCATTACATAATTAGTGTAAATATTTGTAGGCATGCAATAACAACATGCAATTATGATATGGAATGATGTCATAAAAAGTCTTATTGAAAGAAGGAAGTAAAAAATAAGTAGCATTTATAGAACAGTAGTTATATATCTTTAGGTATAGACAATCCATTAAACACTTTAACTTTCAAAACCAGATTCCAAAGATATTCGGAATCTATATATTACAGACTCTCGGTCTGTTGAACATGGAGGTCCGAAGTGTTAGCAGTAGCACTCCCCACAAAGGAAATGAGGGTCAAACTCAAACAATGCTACAAATGTCTGAGATTATGGAAGGCGGGGGGAGACTCCCCATGAGTAAACACATTCTGTACCTGATTAGGTATTTGGAAGCTGGGCAACTGTTAGGAGTAAAGCGTGACTCATTAAAAGTCATCTGGTAACTGACATGAAATTCTACAAAGGGGCTCCTCACCAAATAACCATTTTTTGTGAAGTCACAGTCGTATCTTTGCCATTTTACAAAGTACTGAATACTGTCAGCACTCATAAAACTCTGCTGGGTGAATGAGTGATTGAATCTCACAATTTTTCTGGCCATATGGCTATCCCAAAAGAAACAAGAAACTTCCTTCTAACTTTACTTTATTGGGCACCATGTTAGGTGTTGATAAATCTTTGAAATTTTTAGAGTCATTCATATTGACTTCTCTGTAAAATTTCAACACTATTTCAGGTATAATAAGCTTAAAACATCTTAATTAGAGAGGCTAGGGGACATCAGATGAGGTTAAATACCGTACAGAGCCAAAAGATTCATAGGACCAAACAGGTACTATGGAGTTATTAGTAAGCACATTGAAAAAGAAGGAATTATATTAAATTTAAATTCAAGTTAATTATTTCCCATACCTACCATTTTCTTCCCACATAGAAAAATCCATTTATTAATTTTGGAATAAAAACAAGAAACTCTCTTAAAACGAAGTATCAGCACCTCCCACTGCTCTGGTGATGAGGGTTGAATTCCTTTATCAAATGCAATTCTTGGAATAAGAATTATAATTTCCTGTCTATACACACACACACACACACTATATCCTGGTGTTATAGCTTCATAAATGTATTTTGGTACTGATAATTTGAGGATTTTAATAAAACTACTTTGTTTTATACTCATTCTCTGTATACCTCCATGCAACACAGACTACTGAAATGTATTTTTAGAGTCTTTCTGGGGAAGACCTGAAATTATTTTACTTTCTGCAGCTTTCTGTAGAATATTTGGTCCACTCTGAGGGAGCCCCAAAGGAATAATTAATATCTACAGAAGCATTCATTCATGGACCTGGAAGGAGGGGAAAAATACTGAATTGCATCATCATGTAAAATATTTAATATCCTGTTTCTTGTGGCCAGGACCCAGGGGCTTTGGGTTTTCCACTAGAATATTTTCTAGTCAGATGAATCAAATAATAATATCTTAAATCTTTTAGAAACCTTGAAAAGATTGCTCCCCATAATCTTTTTTTCTTGGGGTAATGGGTCTTAAAAACCTCTTTCAAAGAAATAACCTGGCAGCCACCTCACGGCCAACCTGTAGTCCTTCTGGTGTCTTTGTATGGGGACTACAGGCAACTCAACTTCCCCTTGGATTCATGAACTCCATTGGTCCCACTGGTAATACATTTTAATGGCAGGTTAAAGGGATGATGAGTAGAGACAAGATTTTGCCTTTATCAAAGATAAGTATTTATCCAGGGAAAGTACAAGTTTAATTTGCTAGCAGCTTATCCATTCTAAGTTCACCACTTCAAAGAGGCAGGTAAAACCAACCAAGCAAATTGTTGGCTTAGTGGGTGGATCAAGGCCTTGGGCAAACAATTATACATGATACATGCCAATGAGGACAATCTTTCTCTTCTGGATGTCATGTTCTATCATTCCATAATGAAGTAATGACTTCTTGGCAAGCTGGCTGCTGAGGTCTACAGCCTTCCTTGATGCTATGCCAAGCAAACACAAAGGAAATGTATGTACACCATATCCTCCTCGTGGAGCATTTGCAGAACATTCCATTCTCCTCCTTAAACATATGGGATCTGTACCTACACCTTCCCAATTCCAACAGACAACATTTCATTTTTATGTACGTAATAGAAGAAGAGTTCTCCCATCCCTGAGTAGTGTGGCTCAGAAGAGAAAAGAGCTTTTAATGAAATAAAATGTTACCATGAGCATTTCAAACTTTTGCCAATGGTAACTCAGTAACTGCTTTATATTGACCCTTCTGGTTACACGAGTCTGCGCACACACACACAAAAATAAATAAAATAAAATAAAACAAAACAAAACAAAAAAGTCTAAAAGGGAATTCCTGGCACTGTGTTTGACCAGAAGGGAATGCAAGAGTTTAAGAGTCATCCAAATCTGATCAACTTTTCACCCTGGGTTCTGTTTACAGACTCCTCAGCTCACATTGTTGGAATGAGACAAATATAGCCACTTTTGCTTTGATCTGCAGTCAGTTTGGCTTTCCAATCCTGGCACAATGGTGACATTTAAGAGGCAAAGGGATAAAATTATTTTCATTCCAGCCTCTTAAACATGTGAAGACTTACAACTCTAGCCAACTATGAAGTTAGCCCTCAACGGCCGATCTCTTTTTTATAAAAAAGTTCTTTTTCTTACAGTGCTGGCTCTGCACAGAAGTATAAAGACTACAGCGCATCCATTCCCCTGGTTAATTTTATTTTAAAAGATAAGGACGGATTTGAGAACAATGAGGGAGAAAGAATGGCCACAGGGTACGAGTCAAGCCAGGGCGAGATGGGTCTTGGGCGGGAGCTTCTGTCTGTTTCCAAAAAAGATCACAGTAACTTTCAAAACAATTAGGCCCACAGGAAACAAAACAGACCCTCGGTTAGGTATCTATTTATTCATCCGTCAGTAGTAAGCTGAGTCACCCAAAGTCCTTGTGGCCTCACCTGCGAGCCCCGTCTCTCAATTTGAGAGCTGAGAATAGTTAAAGAGCGAAGGGAATTGAGGGCGAGCTTATAAATTAATGATTGGAGAGTCCCATCCATCTCAGAACAAAAGGTCTCCTTCCTCCCGTACCAGCCCTTCCTTCCATTTCTACCACTCTTAAAGGACTCTAAGGGGAAGACGGGACATGAAAGGGATGGGAAGGGGGACTGGGTAGGCATACAGGCAAAACCCGCGGTCTGTGAGATTGCCTAACAGACACATACCTATAGACACAAGCTTGTGCGGACTATCACCACAAGTTCGGATCTACGGGTTTGTGGCAACAGGCCTCAGTATCTTCTCTCGTTTGGGGGTTTGAGATGTCTGAAAATAAAACGTTAAAGCCATTAGTCCAACCAAAGTTTCTGCCATTCTAGTGTTTTATGTCCGAAATGGAAAGACTTCATCTTGCTCTTAGAAGGGCAAAGGTTAAGCAGTAGCATCTGTGTTCTCCCCGACACAGGTCCCTCTGTTTTCACTTATTCCACAGATACACTCGGCTTTAGGTAAATCTCATCAGGTGACTGTTTAATGTTACCAAAGGCTCTTTTAGTCAGACCTTAGCACACGATCTGGCCAAAGCGGTATCAGATTGTAAGAGAGAGAGAAAGAGAGAGAGATTGAGAAAGACATGAAATCCCAAGTGCAAGTTCTTTCCTTTAAATGCCTGTAATTACATGAAAAATGATGGTGAATTTCTCCCTTCTATTTGCATTTTGGAAAACAGGCGGAATAAACTGACAAGCATCACCAACAGGCTGGTAAGTATTTTCTGAAAAGTCTTCTAGAGATTTCTAGATATATTAAATGAGAAGACTCATCTTCAGGAAAAGTTTGTGTTTTTGTTTCTACCCCACCCCCATTACTGGCCCCAACACTAACACAGAACAAGTTTAGGCATATATTATAAAATCTGAACTGGAGAAGAAGTTGTGTAATTGTCCCCCCAAAACTATTCAAGGATATGAAGATGGATCTGTTTCTGAAGCCTTATGAAATGATTACATTTGTCAATATAGCATTCTTTCTCCCAAGCCAATATTCTACACATAAAAATGGGACATCCAAGACCACGAAGCTTTATTAACAGCTCCTTTTGTGAATTTTCTTAAAGGCACAGTCTGAATCACAAGCACTTCTACGACACATGATAAAAAGCAAAATAATCGCCCTCCCTAGATATTGGGAAAAACATATGCCTCCATCCTTCACCCAACCTAAGAAGAAACTTTTTAATTTTTGTTAAGCGATATCTATAGATCCTGGCTTTCACAAAAATTCTCTTCCTTTGCCTCGACATGAGCATGAGACTTCCTCAAGATTCTGAGAGGCTCTACTAAGTACAAAAAAAGCTGAATTGGGGGATTATTTAGAGAAAAGAGCGGGCCCTTATGCACACATACTGAAAGGTGAAAGCAAGAGAACACAAAACCAACCAACAGCAGGGACCAATAGGACCTGAGACGTGACCCTTCTCAGATACCCCATCATCTGCCTACTTCACTAGGACAGAGCTGTGGCAGCCTATTCATGCGGTGAAGGTTCCCCAAACTGAGAATTTTGTGCAACTCTGCAGCTTGACTTTCAGATCCAAAGCAACAATGATAGCAAGAGGAATTAAGTAGGATCCAAACCAATCACCTCCAACTGGTCTTGGCTTCATTCTAAAATGCTGATTTCCTTTCTAAAAGGAAAGATTTTAAAATGAACCCCAAGCCTCTTCTTTTCCTTTGATCTTTCTGACAAAGGCATGGGTCCAGAAGCATTTGAGGATGGGCACTCTGCACGCTGTGAAGGGTTGTAGGAGCACGTGGGACAGAGGAACTCCCATTCGGTTGGAAAAGAACCATTCCAGGCTTCCAAAGTGATGAGGACTAGCTACTATTATCAGGTTTATTAAAAAGACGGAATGCAGTATTTGTTTGCAATGAACGAAATAAGATCTGTCCAAGTTTTATACTTAGTTATTCAATTAGAACCATCTTCATACATTTGCATCCTCGAACCTCAAAGAAAGGAATGTGATGCTATGTTTTAATTGGGGGCATCTCTTTTTTAAATTTTTTTTTTTTTTAATATAGGACAGAGAAAAGCTACTCATTCCAAATGGTTTGTAGTGTTAGCTTCCAAACAATCCACCGTTTTAATTATAGAAAATAAAAGAAAAAATCGGAAGATGTCTAGATTGCAGGGGAAAAAAATAGGTCAAATCCTGACTCATAGAAGAATGGTTTGTTCGGAAGGAGATATTTTCTCCAAAATATTAATTGACTACCTCCTTCAAGAACCTTCTCTGTGTTATGGAGGAAAAGAAAAGTTCTTTTCAGAGCAAATTTTGGCTAGCTTTATGAAGCAAGATTCTGTGGGGCTCTGTTAGATAGTAATACTCATAATTAAGTTGGAAAATGCAAGCTGAATGCTATGAACAATGGCAAAGCAGAGTAAGGTAATTTATCAAGCAAATATATTATTTGTGCTATTAAACATTTTTAAGTGGCATGAAGTTCTTTAATACCACTAAAAGGAAACTGCCTGTATCCTGATAGCTGAGCTCAAATCTTAGCCATTGGACAGGGATGGGGATAGCTGCATTAAACACCATACTATATTACCAATCTAGGACCAAAGTTAAAATGTCAATATTGTTATGCTAGTTATACATGTTATGCTAGTTATGCTAGTTATGCTAGTTATACTTCCAGGAATTCAGAGCACACAGTAGGTTTTTTAGAGACAATCCTCTGATATTTACATTTTTCAATTCAATTACCCAAGATAGCCACAGAGTTTAAGGCCAGTGCTTGACGGTTTCAAATGAGTTCTGGCTAAATCAATGTTAAAAGAAGTAAGCACTGTTAAGTAATAACTTCATTTTTTTTTCCTGAATTCCATAGAATTGAATGCCATGACTGCTCTGCTATGAGTATTATAAAGCTATTTGCTACTTTAAAAAAATCAAGTTCAAAATGCAGTTATTCTTTAGAACTAAAGCATTCAGACGTGCCCTAAAAATTTGCAGCGCTTGAGGAAACGGAAGGTTTGGGAAAATTAAGGGAAAACACTATTACCTGAGAAAAGTAACTTCTTAGGAATCCTATTTTTTAAGCTCGTTGCCATCTTGCTAGGCCAATATCTTCAAACCATTAGCCCGTGTCTGGAAAATAAAATTATTTTAAGTGGATCAAGACTCTTTTGTTTGTTTATCGGTTGGTTTCTTTTTGTCACCCAATTCTTGGTTAAAGCTAAATTAGAATTAACGCTGGAACGAGGTAAAAACGGAACAGCAAACACTGAAATAAATATAATTCTAGAAAATCACTGGGTAACATTATATTTACTTAATTTCCAAAACTGCACATGCTATAAAGGTTCTGCAAATAAGTCACGTTCACATTTTTTCCTGGAATTTCCCTGGCTATCGACAAATGCTGACAACTATTTTACCGGAAAAATGATCAAACAGGAATGTGAGGTCTCAGAATATTCACAAATTCCAATGTTTTATACCAAACCGCTCATTTGCTAAATATGAGAAAGAGACAGGCTATCAATTATTAAGAACGGTTAAGGTACAATCAAGTTGGGCAATCATTACCTGGCAAGATGTAGCATCACTGAAACATCGTTTTAACTTTTTGATTTTGAAATGTTTCAGAAGTCATTATTTGTCTCTGCTGATGGGGCTGTTAAAAAGAAGTAAAATATCTTATTGTGGAGAATTCATGAGTCTATCCCCCTTCCACCACAGCAGGATTCTTGGCTTCCATTCCAACCTTCTTTCATTGGCCATGTTTTAGACGCAGGGTTTGCTTTTCCTTCATTGTTCCTTTACTAATGGAAGGCAAACTCACTGTGCAGCTGCTTGCAAAAGGGAAAATGTATTTGAGTTTTGCCTGGCTTGTGGACTTGAACACCCAACAATCCATGGTGATGTCAGTAGAACGACACCAACAGAAAGATTTCCTGCCCTCCACCCTCCTTCTTTTTTAAAGATGTACCTCTTGTCCCAGATCTCAGCAGACCTCCTTTGTCCTGAGGGGACAGAGCAATTCAAGTGAACTTTTTAAAAAGGAAGGCAAGAGAGAAGTGAAAGAAAGAAGGGGGGTGGGGGGGTGGGGAGAGAAAGAAAGAAAGTGGGAAGAAAGGAAAGAAAAAAGAAAAGGAGGCAGAAAGAAAGAGAAAGAGAAACAGAGAGAAAAAGAGAGGAGGGAGGATGGAAGAAAAGAAAAGGAAAGAAAACGAAAAGAACAACCACAAAAAAAAGACTCAAATCTACCCTTTGGGATTCATCATGAAGCAGGAGAGACGGCCAGTCTTTGGTCTCCCTATGGCTTCTCTGTTTTCCTGATGTCTTTTCTCTCACCCTCTGTAGTCCTTGCTTTTTTGTAGGAAGATCCAATCACCTCAACAAAAGAGGCACATCCAGCAATCGCTGCTCCAAGAGACATTCACTGGTGCCATGCGTCACCGTGAGCGCCGTCCACCTGCGACACTACCACCGGGACACCAGACCCCAGCATGGGAGCGCCTCTCCTGGGAGCAATGCAGGGGCTCCGTCACCAAAGCCAGCTAGCTTAGGTAGGATTAATTCTTCTCTGCCCAGGAAAAACTGACCAGAAGGGAGTCGGAGGGAGGAGATTGGCCAGGTTTTCATGCTCCTTTCGGCCGAAGGGAAAATTAGAATTGATATTGATAATCTCCCTGTCACACCTGCCATCACCCCCCACCCACATTTAAAAAAATTAATATTTTATATAAAATGAAAAATAAAGGTGTGGCTAGGTCACCTAAAGAACAAAGACAAGAAAATGGTAGGACAAAATAAGAGTGGACGAAAACAAAAGATGCCCTCAGCTTGTTTCTAAATGACAAAAAAAAGCAACCCACTCCTCGAACAGTCTGGAACCCACTCAGAGCTCGTCCTCCACAGCAGTGTAAGAGAGATCAACTATTTCACAGTGAGGAACTGGAGGCAAATTTGCTTTCGACACACCCGAAGAAACAAAAGAGAAGGAGGCTGCCGGTAACAAGTTGTCTCGGGTGCAGCTGGCTAAGGAAGCGACTTTCACTTTTAAAAGCAGTGAAGTTTGCTTAGGATGACAGTTTTTCTTCCTCTTTAAAATCTGAACAATGACACCAGGCTACAACTTTCCTTTCTAGCTACATGGCTTAATAAAGCCAGGAGGGTTTCTTCAAAGAATCCCAATTTTCAGAAACACAGAAGACCCTGGTTCTGATAGGGAAATAGGAGATACAGATTTTTAAAGATCAGATGTCTGTCATTTCTTTAATATAAATGAACTATACGCTGCACAAGGCTTCCTGTATGTCAGCCAATTTTAACACTTTTATTTTCAAAGCTATGTTTTGCTCATGAGAAAGCAGCCTGCAATTCGATTCGGAAGCCATGAATTAAGTGGGGGTCCAGAGAGGCTTGGGGAAAAACTGACAATTAAAGCCCTCGGACCCTGCGAGAAAAGAGATGAGCAATATGCAAGGAGTCAGGGTGTCCTCCAACCTTGACCGTGGAACAATGCGAGGCTTGTTCCAGGGCAAAGTACAAGAGAGCCTGGAGCCCCTGCCAGGTTGCCTACAGCCATCAAACACGAGAAACCAGGTTCGGCGGCAACAGAAAGACCTTTCTGCCTTCCTGCAGGGCACAGATCTACTCAGGGAAGAACCGAACGGCCTCCTAAGCCTCCATTTCTCAGCCCACCACAGGCCAGCTTTTCCCCTGCCAGGCTCTCTGCACCCCCCTGCTAAGTTCCACCTTTCCCTCTTCTTTTTTTTTATTTTTATTTTATGTATCTTTCTTTTAAAGATTTTACTTATTTATGTGACAGAGAGAGGCCGGCAGAGAGAGAGGGGGAAGCAGGCTCCCCGCTGAGCAGAGAGCCCGATGCGGGGCTCGATCCCAGGACTCTGGGATCATGACCGGAGCCGAAGGCAGAGGCTTAACCCCCTGAGCCACCCAGGCGCCCCCCACCTTTCCCTCTTCTTCAGAACAACCACCAACCAAGGAGAACACGATTGCCTATCGTCCTCGCCATGGTGAAGTTTGGAAAGAAAAAAGTATTAATCTACATTATCTACTTCTTGCTCTCAACTTCTCCTAGGATCGATTTCTTCTCTCTTCCTCTTTCTTTTCCCCCACCCCCTCTTTCACACACGCACACGCGCACACACACACACTCACACACACACTGCTGCTTGGTCCAATCTGGTGCCTGCTTAACAACAACAGAATGACAAGCAACATCTGTTTGTAAAAGAGCCAAAATCAAACCTTCACGTGTTTTGGCCAGGTTTCTTTTTTCTTTTTTTCCCCCTGACTCTCAAGAGAGGAAGAGGCCAGAGGAGAAATATTAAGATTTACATTCGACACTGGCTCCAGTGAAGCAGCAACTCTACTCCCCCAGAGTAATTTCAAAAGAAAGCAGTGTGAGTAAAACCATGGCAGTATTCCTGGTTGTCTTTCCCGAAGCAAGCCCGAGCGCAAAACATCCAACATACAGACTCCTCAAAGTCAGGGTTTGTTGGGTTTTCTTCTAATAGCTTTATATTCTAATTATATTATATTAGAATTAGAATTCTAGGACCCTCTGTATGTGTGCATGTGTATATGTGTATATATGTGTGCATGTGTGTATGTGTGCCTGTGTGTATTGTGTATGTGTGCATATGTGTGCGCGTGTATGTGTGCATGTGTGTAGGTGTGTGGGGGTGGGTGTGCATATGTGTATATGTGTGCACGCGCATGAATGTGTGTAGGTGTGTATATGTGTGGGTGGGTATGCATATGTGTATGTGTGCATGTCTATATGTGTGCACGCATGTGTGCATGTCTGTGTGTGCGTGTGTGTGTGCACAAACATGTGCATGTGGCGGGGCAAGAGGTGAGACCTGCAAAAGCAGAAGAAGGCCAAAAAAATGACAAGAGATAACGTGGACAGGAAGGGAGCTCCATAGCTACTCCCCATTTTGTGACCTCCGGGCATACAGACAGGCACGTTCACACATATGCCACAGGCAGGAACATGCGTCCTGGAAGCATGCAGCAAGGCCGTGGCAGAAACCTGCACAGCTGTGGCCATCAGAAACGGGCTCCCCCATTCCCTGCAGAGATGAGTCTTTCTGGAAAGCTACCAACAGTCCACAAAGTCACAATGCAAAAGGAGAAGAGCCACCTCAGGGAGGGAGGGGTCCCGGGGCGGGGGGGGCAGCGGGAAGGAGCCAGGAAGGGAGAGAGGGGTTTGCTACCGACTGAAACAGTTCAGCCCTCCTAGAAGAGAAACCGAGGACTGTTAGAAGCCCGACTCCCATTTCACTCCGGGTTTGGAAGAAACCCACACACATTAAGGGAAAAATAAATTCAGACAAGTTGCTAAGGAGACTTGTGTAAACTCCAGGCACAGACATATTTCTTGGCCTTTCCCCCTCTGCTCCATCTTGTATTCTGATCACGCTGCTCTGCGGCAACATTGCACCAACCTCCTGCATTAATCTTGGCCTTCACCATGCAGACTGGCAAACCCGCTGCTTGTCTATATCATCGTCTTTCAAACTTAACGAGTTAAAAGAGCGTGCGTGTTCATGCACGTGTGTGTGTGTGTGCACGTGTGCATGCCTAGTTGGGGGGGGGACTTAATTTGGAATTTTTGAAACATAGGTATTGAACAAAGAATACTTAGACTGCGTGTTTTGGGAGCAGTGAGGAAAGCAGCAGGTATGACACCTAGCACCTGAAATTCCTCTTCGCCTGGGCATGACATCCTTTCTCTGTGCCCTTTGCCTGCCCCCACCAGCCCCTCCAGGTAAAATCCTGTATTCCTGGCAGAGGTAAGCAGTGCCTGAATCATTACAGAGGCCAGTGAAGGGGTCCCAGGCTTATGCATTCCACAAAGTGGAACCCAGTTCCGGCTCCCCTGCTCAGGAGTGGGTCCCAGAGAGATCAGCATTTTTTTTTTTAATATATATTTTAAATCATTTTTTTTTAATTTATTTTCAGCATAACAGTATTTATTGTTTTTGTACCACACCCAGTGCTCCATGCAATCCGTGCCCTCTCTAATACCCACCACCACCTGGTTCCCCCAACCTCCCACCCCCCCCACCTCTTCAAACCCTTCAGATTGTTTTTCAGAGTCCATAGTCTCTCATTGTTCACCTCCCCTTCCAATTTCCCCCAACTCCCTTCTCCATGCTATTTGTTATGCTCCACAAATAAGTGAAACCATTTGATAATTGACTCTCTCTGCTTGACTTATTTCACTCAGCATAATCTCTTCCAGTCCCATCCATGTTGCTACCAAAGTTGGGTTGAAAGCAAACTGGAATGATTCCTCAAACCTCTAAACCAAACCTGTTCAGATTCTAAACTGGTTAGCCTTTCGGAGGAGACACTCCAGCCCAATATCCTTGCCCTGGAGCAGGGGCCTTCCTCCCATAGAGACACATCTTTCGCATCAGCTGATATATGTCAACATTTGATTTAAGGGAAAATTAACATTTCTTTTCAGGACAGAGATGTTTGTACTGTAGAACCCAATATTTTCCTTTCTCAGCCTCCTGTATTAGAATTTCTAAAATCTTCCCTAGGACACAGAGAGAGTAGACAATACATAGCCTAAGTCATTACTCAGGGTGCTGGGGCAAACCAAAGTCAGGTCTGAGTGTGCGCGTG